GCTCTCCGGCTGCGACAGAACAACGTGCACGGAGGCAGGCACTGACGCCTGCCTGGGTTTCCAGTGCTGGAGGCAGCAGGCTTGGGGTTTGGGGGTTCATTTCTCTGGAGACCAAGCAGCCCTGCTGCTTATTTGCATTGGTAACAGCACACAGTCCCCGCTTGCCAGGAACCCGGTCCCTATCAATCAACAGGAGCTGAAGGCAGCGAACTGTGCCTTGGCTCGGCTTAGGCACCCAACACTCAAAGTTTGGGACAGATTTTTTGGTCCCCTCTGTTGCTCCAAGCAAAAACTGGGGGGGAGGAAGCCAGGAGCACTCAAGGGTAAGGGGATTTACTTATAATGCAATACTTTTTCTGCTGTAAAATGGTCTGTTAAGACACACGGAGGTTCCTGTGGCTCACGCAGCTGCACACGAATCCAGTTTGTCTCCGACTTTGACCCTGAACTGAAAAAGAGCCACGAGCTGCTCTCACATCTTCCCTCTTGCCGGCCACTGCTGCCGATTGGGCACGTTCTCCCCATCAAAATGGCAGTGGGGGGCTGTGGGTGATGGACATCCCTTCCTTTTGGCCCAGCTAACGAGACTTAGAGCTGCATCAAGTACAGAGCACTCGCCAAAAGCGCACTCAGGCACAGGATAGCGCTTGGGCTGAGACTTCATGCAGGAATTGGGGATAATCTCATTGCCACTTTTTTTTTTTTTTTTTAAATCCCAAAATTCCTTCCCTGAGAAGGAAGAAAACATTTCCAGCTACACTTGTTTCAGAAGTGTCTGAGTTTACATCTATTCACAACAATTCACAATTACAACAGCAGAGTCAGTAAGGTCTGATTTGGGGACACTTTATATTCCTCTTTTCACAGTGAGCCCTTTGAATCCAAGCAAGAAAGACCCTGAGTGACAGCAGGATGTCCCCAGAGCATCCCTGGAGGGGATGAGAGTGGCAGCAGAAGGTCAGAGCCATAAAACCCACTCTGCTACAGCAGTAGGCTCAGGAGGGCAGGGTTTTACCCTGCTCCCCTGTTAAGTGTTGCCAAAAGGATCCTACGATGCATACTTCAGACATGAGCCATCCTCCTCCAGGAGGGAGGGATGCAAGAACAGATTATGGGTTGGTTTTAGGGGGGGGACGTGCCTGATGCTGCCATGCTAGAGCTGGAGATCTCTGCTAGCCCTGGCCATCTGCCGTGCCCCCATCACCGAGGCATCACACCAACACAAGCAGCAGATTGTGGCTGCTCCAAAAAAACTGCAGCCTAATTAAAGCTCTAGTTCACTGGGAGAGCAAGACCCTGAGCTCTGAGAAGGAAGCAAAGAAGTGAGCCCAGATAATTCAGGCAAGGTTGACAAATCCAGCCCACGCGCCAGGGAAAGCTCCTGACCTACCGTTGATGATCCTGGCCACCCGCCACAGCCGCAGGAGTATCAGGAGCCCGACGGCTTCGAACTCGTGCTCCCGGAAGATGAGGACGACGTCGAGGATGAATGACACGACAACGACAATCCCATCCAGCACTTCGAACTTGTGCTGGAAGAACTCCCAGTGGTAGACGAAGATTTTAAACCCCACTTCAACCAGGAAGACGGTTAAAATGGAAAGGGAGAGGTAGTGGAAAACCTGGGGAAAGACAGTGCAGGTTTAAGGCCAAGAACCCCTCCTGGGTGCACATAAGCAGGACAGGCTGGAAAACCTCTGCCACTTGAGGGCACATCTGATTTGGCTCTACAAAGAGGGCTGGGGATGTTTTTTCTGCTCCAGGGGACAACCAGAGCAAGCACGGCTGGGCCGCCAGCAGCTTGGGGTAAGCCAGACCAGAACGTGTGAAGACAACCAGGAGAAGAACGGCAAGAGCCATTCAGCTCTGCTGCAGCCCGAGGAAATACGAGGCTGCTGCACAGACCGGCGTGAGCTGAGCCAGGTCGGCCTCGCACACTGCAGGGCTGTCACACAAGTCCCTGCGAGACCTTCGTCCGTGTGCCTGCGGCTGCCAGCTTGGTCGAGGTCCTGCCTGCCTGGTTGTCCTACCTAGTGGGCTTTGAACTTCAAAGAGAGGGAAATCAGGTTCACATTGACACTTCCCTGCATTTTACCTTCGGAGTTATATTATATTTGTCCGGATGGATGATTTTCAAGTCCATAAGCAATTCCCCAAGGACCAACAAGGCATCCAGGACGACCAAGCAGACAACCAGGATCTGTCGGAGGAGAAGAACCGATGTGAAACCCTCTCCCAACACAAGCACGAGGAGCCAATGTGACCTTCAGCTAAACATGCCCCAACACCTTGCCCTAATTCGGC